CCCCCCCCCCCCAGCTTTTATAGCCTTTTCTCTGTGTGTATGATTGTCTCGGCTGTTATAATTTCCTTTTGCCTTAGGTTGAGCTGTGAGATTCTAAACTTGTACTTCCCCCCCACCCCTTTTTGGTTTGGTATGTAATTTGCATATTTTCACCATGTGAAAGCTATTTTCTATGGTTGGAAAAGAGTTTTTTCCAACAGTGTGAACAAATCATTCTTTGTTCTCCTTATTGTGCCTCCAAACTGGTACGTCCGGTTTATGCTCCAAACAACAAAAGCCTGTCATCAGAAATTAAAATGCCAGTAAGAACAAAGGCAGAGACCCATGAGGAACTATTGGAGAGGTTTCCTCCCTGTTTGCTCCTCTCCCCAAGTTACTGCAGTTGCCAGGAAGTTGGAACATTGCTTGATACACGCCTTCCTTGTAGTTCTACCCTTGTATTTATTATTGTTGGTTTAAAAGTGAACTTAGAGCTCCTGGTAATTCTTCTCAGGATCAGTAAAATCTTCATCTCAGAGATTCTTTGCTCTTTTCAATGAGCTCTTTCTAAGAAATCTAAAAATCACTTTGAAAGCCTTAAAAAAAACTTCATCAGTTTTGACATTTATTTGAGAGCAAAACTGCCAGTGAACATACTGTATAAAATGATTAGAGGCAATTGAAAACGGCAGCTAAAGCGAAGCCTATAAGGACATAGCCATTCTCTCTGTGTCTTACCTAAAACGTGCACGTCTTATCTATATACACGTTATTAGCACTGTCTCTGTTCTGAAATTGTATTCCAGTACAGAGTTTGCCTATATTATTGGGAGAGTTCTCTTCTCTGGGAAGTTTGACATTTTTGACTCACTTAGGATACTTTAGAATTATGCTTCTAACAATTTTGATTTTAACATATTCACAAATTTCTATACATAGTAATAGTGCTTCCCCCCACCTCCCTTCCCTGATGTGATGATTAAAGATTCTAGGACCTTAACTTAGAGGTAATGAAGGATCGGTAATGAATGTGGAGATGCATTTTGTAATCACTCCTAATGTTTTTTGTCTTACCTGTTGCTGTACATTTAAAGAGGGATTTAGAGTAGAAGCTTAGAATAGAATAGGGCATTTAGGTTTGTTTTAAAAGCCGTTATGCTCAAAAGCATGGTGTGTTCAGATTTCAGAATGTTTTTGTATATCAAAGTAAGCTCTTGGGTATTAAATCCAGTGATAACAAATGTTTATCATATTGTGAATATGCCAAGATAGGTTTGTTTTATTCTTTATTGTTTAGTATAATTTAGTATAGCAGCTCAGTTAAATGTGATTAGACTTTTTAGCTTTAAGGCTTTATTTGATAGGACCAAAAGCTAAATGCTAGACTTGTGGCATATGGAAATAATAGTACAGAGCAGTGAATTTTGTGTTAGAATACTATGATTTGTTATAGGTATAAACCTTATTTGTGAGAGGTGGTTTTCATTACTCTGAATTATCATTTCAGTGCAATTTCTACAGTATTGGTTTTTTTTTTAATTTGAATTTTATTTATTTTTATTTTTATTCTTAAATTTTTGGCTGTGTTGGGTCTTTGTTTCTGTGTGAGGGCTTTCTCTAGTTGCGGCAAGCGGGGACCTCTTTTCATCGCAGTGCGCGGGCCTCTCGCTATCGCGGCCTCTCTTGTTGCGGTGCACAGGCTCCAGACGCGCAGGCTCAGTAGTTGTGGCTCATGGGCCTAGTTGCTCTGCGGCATGTGGGATCTTGCCAGACCAGGGCTCGAACCCGTGTCCCCTGCATTGGCAGGCAGATTCTCAAACACTGCGCCACTGGGGAAGACCTACAGTATTGTTTTATAATTTATTTTTCATTGCATTCTTAGTAGAAATAGTATGTATATTGAAGAATACTATTTATCCATTGCCCAACAAACAGTCTCTTTTCAAAAAGTAAATGACTTGGCAGCTTTGGAGGTAGCCAGTAATGCATCTATAATGTAATTGGACTGTATTAGTGATATACCTTTGGTGAAAGTGTTCTTAAAATCAAAGAGGTGATGGTAATTTTTAGATATCAGAGAATGTGTGATTACTGCATTGGTTGGGAGATTGAACAAAGTGACCCTTTAAGGATTTTTCTAAACTGAAAATTCTGTTCTATAAGAATAAAATGTGGACTTAAAAGCTGCAGTATATAATGGCAATGGTATTTTATTTATAAGATTAATGTTTACAGAGGAATTTGTAGAGAGGTAAATTTAAGAAGTAAACTTAAGTTTGCTATACTGAGTTTGTAGCTTTTGTGTGTTTAATTGGTGATAGGTGGTGCTATTGTTGCATAGTTAGTGGGAAGAGCCTAGCATTCCTCGTATCTTCTGCTTCCCAAGTGCTATAGAGGGATTTGCCATTGTGGCCAATAAATACATTGTAATAATTTTTATAAGCTAAATGAATATGATGGCTCTTTAAGAGACAAAAATATTTATAGTTTGCAGCTCTTAAATTCAGGTAGAAGAGAAGCTGAAGATCTAAAAAAGTAGTTAATCTAAAAGACAGCTCTGCAGGTTTATAGTTTAATATTGGAAGATTGATAAACCTTTTATAATGTATACAATGTTGATATTTTAAACTCCTTGTTTGGCAGGCCTATTTTTAAAAAATACCATCAGCGTGTTTATGGAATGTTTATCATTTTTATATCTGTTGTAAGTTCTTAGGTATTTAGAACGAGTTATTTCTATATCTGTTGTAAGTTTTCGGGTATTTAGAACGAGTTTTATAATATTTGCCATTTTCCCTATCTGATATTACATATTCCATCAAACACTTGAGAATTAAGGAAATGTATTGGGAACTACATTACCACTTATAGTAATCTGGAAAGCCTTTCTTAACATTATGATTTAATATGTTCAATATTTCAATTAGCAAATTGTTCTTTGGAACCACTAATTCTGAAAAGCAGTTGTTTTCACACTTGACACAAATATCAGTCTACCTCTTTTACTTTGGGATTAATAGGCTGCTGTACATCTGAGGAACAGATCTGATTTTACTGAAAATGAACGGACATTCATACGTGTTTGATCTATGTGTGTAAGAAGAATAATGACATTTAAAGATGCGTACATATTTTTATATGCATAGAATACTGAAATTTAAAGCATCTTGAGGTCCTTTAGCACCTTTATTGTCTCAGCTTATAAATGCAAAGGAATATAGGCTTAGAGGAGGTAGGGGAAATGTGGAGATGTTGGTCAAACAGAGCAAAGCTGCAGTTTTGTAAGATGTAGAAGTCAGGGGACGTAATGTTCAGGCATGATGACTGCAGTTAATAATACTATATTGAAGACTGGAAAAATAGATTTCAGAGACTCATCACACACAGAAGGTAAGTCTGAGGAAGTGACTGTGGTAATCATTTCACCATATATATGTATATCAAATCTTCATATTGTATACCTAAATGTAGACAATATTTACTAAAATATATTTAGAAAAGAAAATAAGTAATAAAGGTTTATAGAGGTTAAATGATTTACTCAACGTAGTTAACAGCTAGGGTTGCAGAACCGTAACTGGCACCTAGGTCATTTACCCTCCACCTCAGTGTTCTTTGCAACATGTTTTGCTCTTTTTCATTTATAACAATTTGCGAAAGTTACTACAACATTTAAGTTCTGCTTTTCAGAATGCTAAGAATATTTATGTTTTTCTTACATAGAAAACTGAATACTAATAAAAAAAATCAGAGTTTGCTTTGCTCTGAAATGGAAATAGGAACCGAGCAGACTTTAACAAACTGGTAGTTTATTAAAGATAAAAATTACAGGTTTTCAGAACAGACCTTTTATTTTCCTCTTCATATTAAGTGCATGCTCTTACAATTTTCTAAAAATATGATAATTTAAGGTATTAATATACTTAATGTGTATGGTCAGCCATAAATAGGTGTGTGAATGTACATATACCTACCTTTCAGACCAAAAATTGTGATAAAAATTTAGGAGATCTTGTTTTTGTATAATAATGTTCTGACCTGCATTTTCATTTACTAAATTTTTTTTTCTGTCTTCTGCAGATCAGTGGGGAAGCACAGGAGCTTTTTTCTGTTCGACATGGCCCAATTCGAGCAGCTAGAATCTTGCCTGCTCCACAGTTTGGTGAGTGTAGCCCTTAAGAAGAAACAAATCATTCAGAAAGAGGTTTTTCTTTTATTGGTCTTGGACAACAGACAGCAAGAATGATAACTGAAGTCTGTTTTCCTCCACGTGTCCATACTCCTTCCCCTCCTCCCTCCAAGATAAACTCTTAGTTCTGTCAGTTGAGATGGAAATAGGTAATCTTAACCAATTCAGTATGGCCATTCACTTTCTGCTGCGGTTTTGATTTATCTTCCTCCTCTTTGATCTCCATTTAGTTTCTGACTTTGCTGGCTCTTTCTTGAAGCCCTCTTCTTTCTTGGTTTTCATGGCAGTGCTCTTCCCAGATCCCTTCCTTGCTGACTGTGCTGCTTTTGTTATGTTTCTGGTTTAGCTTACTTCTGTGGGTATTCCCCAAGTCTCTGTTGTTCTCAGTGTCTTTGCTCCTCTCAGTTATACTTACTGCCTTGAAGAGCTTGGTTTTCACCATTATCTCGATTGTAGATGAGTCTGTTGTCTGTATTTACAGCAATGGCAGAAGTACAGTTTCGGGCTTTTGACCTTGGATCTCTGCTTTAATAATGAAAACTTCTTAATGTTGTATTTAAATATTATGTATTTTTAAAATTAAAAAATCAGATATATGGTTAAATTACATCTGTTATTTGGAAGCGTAAATAATTCCCAACTCTTTAATGATCTGAGCTTTCTAAGGGTTGTATTTTCTCTTTAATTTGCCTATGTTCACTCAGTAATGCTTTTGTATGTGCACTAAAAACAATCATATTAATATCATTTGCATACTTAAAAAGAGGATATTAAAATATTTTAATGCTATTATATTTTTAAAGTTTGTACAGAAGTTGGGAAATCTTCCTGATAATACTTCTTTCTGCAGTTATTTCTCTAAATTGGTGAGAATGATGTTTATTAAAATGTACTACTATTTGCATAACTAATGTTAGGGATTAATTTAATTATTAAATCTACTTAATTGAAATGGTAAGGGTGGAGGTAATAAGGCAACAATATCCTGCAGTCACATGGAGATTTTTCCTTGTTATTGAACTGTATGGCATCTACAGTTATCAACTTTGTCTCTGCTTTACACTCTCTTTCTGTTTTCTGTTACGTTTGTGTTCTGGTGAAATTTTTGACAAAGAAGATTGTTTTGGAATAACCAGCCTCACTGGATGGTTGGAATCAAGAAGAACTTTATTACTAAAGGACTCTGCCATGTCTTTGTTTCTTTTGTATGTAATTCACAGAGGCAGATTTTTCTCCTTTCATTTCATTTATGAAGTTCTTTTCTTTATGTCAATTATTTATTTTTTAAAAATTTATTTTATTTATTTATTTATTTTTGGCTGTGTTGGATCTTCGTTGCTGCGAGAGGGCTTTCTCTAGTAGTGGGCGGGGGCTACTCTTCGTTGAGGTGCGTGGGCTTCTCATTGTGGTGGCTTCTGTTGTTGCGGAGCACGGGCTTTAGGCACGTGGGCTTCAGTAGTTGTGGATCGTGGGCTCTAGAGCTCAGGCTCAGTAGCTGTGGCTCAGGGAGTTAGTTGCTCCGCGATATGTGGGATCTTCCCGGACCAGGGCTCAAACCCGTGTCCCCTGCATTGGCAGGCGGATTCTTAACCACTGCACACCACCAGGGAAACCCTATTTATTTTTTATATTTTAATTTTTTTTTGCCGCACTGCATGGCTTGTGGGATCTTCGTTCCCCAACCAGAGATCGGACCTTGGCCCCCTGTGGTGGAAGCACGGAGTCCTACCCACTGGACCGCCAAGGAATTCCCCTCTTTATGCCAATTATTAATGTTCAACTTTTCTCAAATTTTTTACTTTGGGCAGAACTATATGAGAGTGTATAAAGCTTTAAAAGCTAATATTGCTAGTAGAATTTGAGTTTGTTTAATTTACTTTGTCTAATTAAAAGAAAGATTTCTCCATCCACTATAATATACATTTATTTATTTATTTAAAAAACATTTTGGCTGCGTTGGGTCTTCATTGCTGCATGTGGGCTTTCTCTAGTTGCGGCGAGCAGGCGCTACTCTTCATTGTGGTGGCTTCTCTTGTTGCGCAGCACGGGCTCTAGGCGTGTGGGCTTCAGTAGTTGCAGCACGCGGGCTCAAGTACTTGTGGCACACAGGCTCTGTAGTTGTGGCTTGTGGGCTCTAGAGCGCGGGCTCAGTAGTTGTGGCTCACGGGCTTAGTTGCTCTGCGGCATGTGGGATCTTCCTGGACCAGGGATCGAGCCCATGTCCCCTGCATTGGCAGGTATATTCTTAACCACTGTGCCACCAGGGAAATCCAACTATAATATACTTTTATGTGCACTATAAATACTTTAAATACACTATTTTTTAGATTTAAGATGTAATTTCACAAAACTTAATGTTGTATGACTTGCAGAAATTACGTGTTGCTTTTATTGTATTTAAGTTTTTAGATTTGTTTTCATCAAACATGCAACTGATCAGATAAAATTTGTAATGGAAAATAGGATACCCCTTTCCTCTCTTCTGCCCGTTTTGCTTTTGCGCTCACTTTGGTGGAATAAGTCCTTTGGTAGCTTCCTGAAAAAGGATGTGTGGTAGATCTTGTTCATCTGAAGATGTCTTTATTTTTCTTTAATTCTTGATTGTTAATTTGTCTGGGTAAGAAATACTTGTTTGTAAGTAATGTTAGTTCAGAAATTTGAAGGTATTGATCTAGTGTTATGGTTGAAGAATCTTAAGCCATTTTGACACCTTTTTCTTTGTATATGGCTTGTTTTTTTCTCAGGAGCTAATAGAATGTTGGCTTTGTTCCCAGTGTTCCAAAATTTTGCAGTGTTGTTTCTTGGTTCATATGTTATTCTGGGCCTCTTCGATGTAGAAATGCAAGTAGTATAGTTATGAGAAAATTCTTTTTCTTTTTTTTTAATATCTTTATTGAAGTATAATTGCTTTACAATGTTGGGTTAGTTTCTGCTGTACAACAAAGTGAATCAGCTATATGTATACCTAGATCCCCATATGCCCTCCCTCTTGAGCTCCCTCCCACCCTCCCTATCCCACCCCTCTAGGTCGTCACAAAGCATCAAGCGAGAAAATGCTTTAAACTACTTTTTTGATGGTTTCTTCTCTTAAATTTTCCATGTTCTCTCTTTCTGGTACTTGTATTATTTGGCTGTTATATCCCCTAGAATGATTAATTAAAAAATACTTTCATCCCTGTTCTTTTTGGGAGATTGTCTCAATATGGATTACTGACTCTTCTTGAATAATTCTTTGCTGGGATATCCTGGGTGGTCCAGTGGTTAAAACTCTGTGCTTTCAATGAAGAGGGTGTGGGTTCAATCCCTGGTCTGGGAACTAAGATCCCACATGCCTTGTGGTGTGCCCCACCCACCCCACAAAATGATTCTTTTCTGCTGTCTTTTTTTCTTGATCTCTCCTCATGCCCAACACCTCCCTCCCTCCCTTCCTCTCTCTTTCTCTCTTTCTCTCTTTCTCCACCACCCTGCTGCTCAGAACTGAGAACAATATACTGACGGGTCAAAGTGGAGGGTAAGAAAGACCGTAGAAACACGTATAGCTCAGGCTCGTGTAAGCCCCAGAACATCCGTGTAGGTCTCCCTCCCTCCCCTCTACTTTCCCTCCTCCCTCCTTCCCATTTTTCTTTCTTGGTGTAATTTACATGTAAATATTACCAAATAGAATCCAGTGATCCATAAAAAATTTATACATCAGGACCAAGTAAAAGATACTCCAGGAATACAAGGTCGGTTAACATTTTGAAAATAAATCAGTGTAGTTCACCATATTAGTAGAATGAAGAAGAAAACACAGTTGATCATCTCAATAGAAATGGAAAAAAACTTTGGCAAAATTTAATAGCCATTTAGGATTAAAAAAAAAAGCTTTTAGCAAATTAGAAGTAGAAAGAAACATCCTCAGTATGCTAAAGATAATCTGTAAAAAAATCTATAGCCAACATTATAATCAATAATGATATATTAAATATTATACTTTCCTACTGAGTTTGGGATGGATCCTATCACTACTTCTATTCACCATTAAATTCAAGTCCTAGCCATAACAATAAGGCAAGAAAAATGAATAAGAGATGTAAATATTAGAAGGAAAGGTGTAAAATCATCTTATTCATAGATAATTTGATTGTATATGTAGAAAATACAAAACAATCTATAAACTGTTAGAATTAAGAAGTGATTTTTTTTAAAAAAATTATTTATTTATTTATTTTTGGCTGTGTTGGGTCTTCGTTGCTGTGTGCGGCCTTTCTCTAGTTGCGGCGAGTGGGGGCTGCTCTTTGTTGTGGTGTGCGGACTTCTCATTGCAGTGGCTTCTCTTGTTGTGGAGCACAGGCTGTAGGTGCGTGGGCTTCAGTAGTTGTGGCTTGCGGGCTCTAGAGTGCAGGCTGAGTAGCTGTGGCTCACGGGCTTAGTTGCTCCACAGCACGTGGGATCTTTGCGGACCAGGGCTTGAACCCGTGTCCCCTGCATTGGCAGGTGGATTCTTAACCACTGACCCACCAGGGAAGCCCCAATTAATAAGTCATTAATAAGAGCTGTTGCAAAAATCCTCAGGAAAATACTAGCAAACAGAATCCAATAGCACATTAAAAGGATCATATACCATGATCAAGTGGGATTTATCCCAGGAGTGCGAGGATTCTTCAATATACGCAAATCAATCAGTGTGATACACCATACTAACAAATTGGAGGATAAAAACCATATGATAATCTCAGTAGTTGCAGGAAAAGCTTTTGACAAAATTCAACATCCATTTATGATAAGAACTCTCTAGAAAGTAGGCATAGAGGGAACCTACCTCAACATAATAAAGGCCATATATGACAAACACACAGCCAACATTGTTCTCAATGGTGAAAAACTGAGACCATTTCCTCTAAGATCAGGAACAAAACAAGGTTGCGCATTCTCACCACTGTTATTCAACATAGTTTTGGAAGTGTTAGCCACAGCAATCAGAGAAGAAAAAG